CGCCACTCTCGGTATATGGGGCCAGTGCCCTACTCACTGAGCCGTCCTGGTCATTTCTTTATTATAAAATGGGCCTTTTGTTAGATGATTTTGCCCAACTGCAGGCTAGCATAAGTGTTCTTTTTTTTTGAGACAGAGCCTCAAACTGTCCCCCTGGGTAGAGTGTCGTGGCATTACAGCTCACAGCAACCTCCAACTCCTGGGCTCAAGCGAGCCTCTTGCCTCTGCCTCTCAAGTAGCTGGGACCACAGGCGCCCGTCACAACACCCGGCTATTTTTTGGTTGCAGCCGTCACTGTTGTTTGGCGGGTCCAGGCTGGGGATTCAAACCCGCCACCTTAGGTGTATGTGGTTGGCACCTTAGCCGGTTGAGCCATAGGCGCCGAGCCAGCATAAGTGTTCTGAGCACATTTAAGGTAGGCTAGGCTAAGCTATGATGTTCAGTAGGTTAAGTGCATTAAATGCATTTTCAACTTACAATGGGTTTATCGGGATATAACCCTATCATAAGTCAAGGAGCACTTGCACATGCATGCAGAGCAGAGGGAGACCTACTAAATCCTACCCAAGGAATAAAGGAGGGAAGCTGGAGACCTCTGGGAGTTTCCCGGGAGCCTTATCAGAAAGCGAGTTAGGAACTGCTCACCAGGAATAAGTGCCAGGAGGACTTTATGATATTGTAAAACAGCAGGAGTCTTTTCATGCACTCACATCTGATCTTTCTACTTTTAGCTGTCTGTAGTCATCAAAAGGAAAACTTAAATGCAAGGAAGCCAGGGGCTTATGGACAGAGAAAGTAACACTGTGGTGTGGGGAGAAAGCTGAGGAGTTCTGTTATGATACTCGACAGCCACGTTAGGGACAAGGGTCCTCCTCCACAGGAGAGAATAGATGGATGATGGCAGCTCAGAGGATGAGAAGGAAAGAGGCTGCATGCTCAGGTCCCTAAGGAAGGAAGGAATGTGCGGGGACCTGGTGGGGTCTGAGGCCTGAGTCTAAGATGCTGAAACAGCATGTTAAACTCTGAGACCCTGTCACGTGGAAAGGACAGAGAATGTGTGGGCCACACCTTACCTAGATCTGCCATCCACTGAGCCAGCATGTGGACGAATGTGGCCAGCACATTGCCCCCATTGAGAGACGCTGCCACCCCTAGGTAGGTCCCGCCGAAGTAGGGGAAGTAGGTGACTGGAGCCGTAGGGTCTGGGGTCTGTGCTGGCTGGAATCCTGAGGGCATGGAGGCTGCCAGCTGAACCGAGGTGCTAATGTTGAGAACTGAGGTCCAAAGAAAATAGACGTTAGTTAGGCCTATCGGGCTAACTCATCTCAACAGAGCAGAGAGAGAGAGCAGTAGTTTTAAAAACATGACTGTATTGGTTAGGGGCCTGGGGACCTGGGGACATGTTGGTAAAAGGATATGTATTTACAGTTAGACAAGAGGAATGAAATTGAGAGAGCTATCATTTAGCAAGGCAACTAGAACTAATGAAGATGTGTTCTTGAAAAACACTAAGAGATGGCCAGGGTGGCTCATTCTGTAATCTAGAACTCTGGGAGGCCAAGGTGGATGGATCACCTGAGCTCAGGAGTTCAAGAACAGTCTGTGCAAGAAGAGCAAGACTCGTCTCTACTAAAAGAAAATCCAGAAAAACTAGCCAGGCATTGTGACAGGTACCTATAGTCCTAGCTACTCAGGAGGCTAAGGCTAGCGGATCACTTAAGCCCAAGAGTTTAAGGTTACTATGAGCTATGATGCCATGGCACTCTGCAACAGAGTGAGTTTGTCTCAAAAAACAAAAAACAAAAACAAAAGAAAAACGCTAAGAGACTCGATGTGTCCCACACACAAAACAATAGCTATATGAGGTAATGCACTTGGTGACTAGCTGAATGTAACCATTCCACAATGTATGTAGACTTCAAAACATCATGTTGTATGCAATCAATGCATGTAACTTCATATGTTAATTTAAAAATAAATAAATGTGGGGAAATTTTATTAAATGTTTTTTAAAATAAAAATGTTTCCACAAATTATCTAATAGTCCTCCTTTCCAGTGGTAAAGACTGATTCCCCTCCTCAAGAGTGTGGGCTTGGCTTGGCGCCTGTGGCTCAAGCAGCTAAGGCGCCAGCCACATACACCTAAGGTGGTGGGTTCGAATCCAGCCTGGACCTGCCAACCAACAATAATGGCTGCAACCAAAAAATAGCCAGGCGTTGTGGCGGGCGCCTGTGGTCCCAGCTACTTGGGAGGCGGAGGCAGGAGACTCGCTTGAGCCCAGGAGTTGGAGGTTGCTGTGAGCAGTGAAGCCATGGCACTCTACCCAGGGTGACAGCTTGAGGCTCTGTCTCAAAAAAAAAAAAAAAAAAAAAAAAAAAGAGTGTGGGCTTGACTTGGTGACTTGCTTTTAATGAATAAAATGAAACAGAAGAGACTTCGGAGACTAGGTCATAAAAGGTTCTGAAGTGTCTGCCTTGGTGGCACTTTCTCTTGGATCAGAGAAAGCAGGTGCCACGTCACAAGCATTCCTGTGGATAGGCTCATGTGCCAAAGAACTGAGGCCTCTGCCAACAGCCCCACAAGGGAACTCAGAAGCAGATCCTCCAGCCCTGGTCAAGCCTTCGGATGACAGCAGCCCAGCATAAATCCAACCTCACAAGAGGCCTTGAGCCAGGCCATTCCAGTAAATATCCCCAGATTTCTGACCCTCAGAAACTATCTAAAATAATAAGTGTTTGTTGTTTTAAGCTACTAAGTACTGGGGAGGTTCCATCAGTTTGCAGTAAGTACCACCTCTTCCTTCCCACGCTTTCCCACCAGCAGGGGGGAATCCCCCAATCCCAGCACACAGGGTACAATTTTCTCCTCTGATCCTAGACCAGAGCCTGTGGACAGTTCTAGCAGTCTCTTTTCCATTTCTCACAAGACCTAGACAAAAAGTATGCTTTTCTCGGTCTTTGTGGGGCGCAAACAAACTGAGGTCAGCTTTCAATTTCCACCTACCTGTGAGAAGCAGAGAGTGAAAACAAGCCTCAGAAAGCCAGTAACCTTTACTTTCTGCCACATCAAGCCTCCTACCGAGACTACAAACCAGAAGCAGCATACCCTCTACCTGTCCCCTCAGGTGCAGGGGTCAACGATGGGGCCGACTGGCTTTGCCCAGAGACAGAATACACAGGCTAGGCACAGGGCAAAGCCCCCAGCTGGAACCGGAGAATGTCACCCCTCAGTGAAGAGAGGACCTAAGTCTTGCCTTCTTCCCATTTGACTAGCCCCTCACCATTTAGAAAGCACATTTACAGGCACACAGGCACCCTTGGTACAGGGAACAGCCTAAGATTTGAAAACCACCAGGGAGGGGGAAAGAGCCTGGCTGGGCGAATCACAACTGTCCAACAATTATCACATTCATTTTGCATGATAAGGACTCAGGGAGATTAGGCTGGCCTAAGGTCACCCAGGAAGTGAGATGCTGAAATCCCAGCCCTGGGGGCTAGAATACAAACCTTACTGGAGTTCCCAGATCCCTGGTTTGAGACGAAGGGATATAAGGCAAGAGATGGTGTACTGGGAAGATTAAAAATCACAGGATGGGTGTGGTGGCTCATACCTGTAATCCTAGCACTCTGGGAGGCCAAGGTAGGAGGATCACTTGAGCTCAGAAGATTGAGACTAGCCTGAGCAAGAGAACCCATCTCTACTAAAATATAAAAAATTAGCCAGGCGTCACAGCAGGCGCCTAGTCCCAGCTACTCAAGAGGAAGAGGCAAGAGGCCTGAACCCAGCAGTTTGAGGTTGTTATGAGCTAGGGTGACGCCATAGCACTCTAGCCTGGGGTAACAGAATGAGACTCTGTCTCAAAACAACAACAACAAAAAGAAAAAAAAGAAAGAAAGAAAAGTCACAGGATAAACTTAGCAACTTTTCCTAGGGCACTGATTTTAGTTGATAATTTAGGAGAAAAAGCTGAACCTTCAAAGTGTTTATCACGTACCATATTTTGCCACGTAGAATATGCTCCCACATATAATGCTCACCCATATTTTTGCCCAAAATTTTAGGGAAAAAACATCTTCTATTTTCTCTGTTTAATTCAAATTTTTATTTGTTTATATTTAGATATTTATTTGATGCATTATAAAGGAATTTTAGCATTTATTTTTACAATGTTATGGTACAATTTTATGAAACAAATAATTACAAAACATAGGAAGATACAAGGCGCAAAAATATTATCTAACAGTAAAAAATAGTACCCATGTATAATGCACATCCTTAGTTTTCCCTCAAAAATTTGAGCAAAAACATGCACATTGTGCACGGCAAAATACAGTGTGTACAAATAATATTGGCAGAACTTCACCTTACTTTGTCAGCTATCAGCTGATTATATATATATATAT